TTCCTTCTCAGTGGTCTTCTCAACCCAGAGGGAAATAGGGTAGCTAATGAATTCAGAGTGCTTCTTGATTAGATCCTTCAGACGACGCTCTTCAAGGTACTCAAGCTGGTCTTCTTTAAGGTGAAGAGTGATCTTAGTTCCCCTGCCAAGATTCTCACCAGAAGTGTCCCTGGTGACAGTAAAAGATCCACCAGCTTGGGATTCCCACACATACTGCTCATCGTCATTGTGCTTAGTAGTGACGATCACCTTTTCAGCAACAAGGTAAGCGGAGTAGAAACCAACACCAAACTGCCCAATCATGCTCACATCAGCACCAGCAGCTAGTGCTTCCATAAATTCCTTGGTTCCTGATCTGGCAATGGTACCAAGATTGTTCACCAAATCTGAAGAAACAAATTCAACAATTAGCAAACAACTATACATTAGGTAAGGGTGAAATCAGGACTCTATGTCGGGAACCAAGCACCAAATTACTGACCTGCTTTGGTCATCCCAATCCCACTATCAATGATGGACAGTGTGTTGTTTGCTTTGTCAGGGATAATGTGGATAAAGAGCTCTGGTTGACCATCGAGCTTGCTCTTGTCAGTCAAGCTCTCAAAGCGGATTTTGTCAAGAGCCTGAAGAAATTTGAGTTTATATTCAGTTCCAAGAAAGAGACAGAGAACTAGATGAGCCACATCATTCTACTTACACCGTATTCTGTTGGCCCCAGTAAAGAATTTTCAAATATAAAATCAAATGAATACAATAAATCAACAGGTTCATACGAACAATCATCTTTACGTACAATTTAGATTTAGACAAGAGCAGACGATCCCCAAAAACCAGCATACAGAAGAACGATTTCTCAACCTTCAGTTTAATAAATCACTACGGTCATAAGAGGAATTCTCAGAAGCTAATCTTATTCCCACATGAAGACCTTCCCATCGTGTTCCACTACAAACTTACCACAAGCACCAACCTAAAAGTTTACCCCAATAACGAGCAGCAACATGTACAATAGATTTCATCAGCTTTCCAAACAAAGCACAAGCGGGCAATTCCACGCCATCCTCAACCATCACTATACCCTCGCGATCAAACCTTCGACACGCTACGATTTCCAAAACCACAGCGAAAAATGTATACTGACTTCCTACGCAGTCAACAGGACATGCTCTATCCAGCAGCAAGCATCGCAAACTAAAGCACACGTTTTCCACCGAAAGACCTCACGGAACACTAACACGCCCCTAAACGCGAGCGTCAGATCACATCACAATCACGACAACAGCGAGCGATCCTCGCTCGCGCGCACACTCCAACAGGCTAAATCCAAACACAAAGCGACGCGATCTCGCGAACGAAAAAGAAGGAAACACTCAAACACGAGCGGAGCTCCCCTTAAAAACGAAACGGAAACGGATCACGGGAGGAAGAAACAACTCACGTCGGAAGAGTTGCTGATGAGCTCGCGGAGGAAGATCTCCTTGTTGCTGTAGAAGGTGTTGATGATCAGGCTCAGGAGCTGGTTGATCTCGGCCTGGAAAGCGAACGTCTCCGTCTCCGCCATCGCCGCCCTCGATTCTTCGCCGGCGCAACGCAGGAAGCAGGGGTGCTCACGGCAGATCGGCAGGAGGAGATTAGGGTTTTTGGTGGGGGGGGGACTGAAGAGTTGCGGAGCGAGGACTGAGGAGGAGCTTATATAGTGGTGCTCGCCCTAGGGTTCTAGATCCTTCTTCGACCCGAGCTTTCGTCACCGGGGGTTTCATTTTGTCGAATTTTCAAAAAGAGGGGACGAGGATTTACGCTTTCGACCACTGCATTTTCGCGTGTTTTCTAGTTTTGGCGTGTCGTGGGTTTGCTTTTTTTCAATTTGGTCCCTGCACGAGCTTGTTTTGTTTCACTCTAGTCCAACTCAGGCTCCGTTTGCTTCGTAAAAATTAAAATGATTAACAATTATGGGCAACAGATTATGTTTCAATATTTTCGTGAACGGTAAAAATATTTTTCATCTCTTTATTTTTATACGCGATAGAAACGATTGTTTGTGATGGGGAGTGACGAATTTTCTTGCCACGCATGCAGTAGGGCCGGAGGTGGTCGGTCTGGCCCCCACGAATCCGCCCCGTCCTATGTTTAATTTTTGGAGATTTCTAGTATTACGCTAGTCTTTTTCTATATACGTCGTAATATTTTGGTAATATAAAGTTCCTTATTTTTCACATAGATTCCAATATTAATGTGGATACTTCCAATGATTTTTTTTTTCACTTTTCTCATCAATTGGTCATGGGAATTTTCTATACCATACTTTATGCTGATAGACCAAAGGATTCCAAATTCTACTTTTTTGCACATAATTTAAGTTATGTTTGCCGAATAATTTAACTTGAAACTTTTAAGTTTGAAATTATTATAGAGCGGGGGTAAGTGGGGCGGAAAAATTGGTCACATCCGCTAGGGTTGTGATGGATTACAGATCAAACATTGATCTAATTTTTATTATAGTATGACAAATCAACAACTGCGTTTAGATAGTCCTGTGATCTTAGTTCATCGGATTATCATATATGCCGGACTCACATTGGACGTCAAAGTATAATATTGAAATGCTAAGTATAAACAGACCGATTTGCAAAATAAGTATATCAAATGATGTCGCGATCTGTCGTTAGACGTTGAATATGCTTTACTCGTTAGAATACGAACTTGGAATCAATCACTTATCTCCATATACCGATTTTATAGACAAAAATACTTATCTAGCATTTTAAGAAGAGCATTCTCACATGTTTCATTGTGTCAATCCTATTCCTAACCTCTTTTTGGCATGTCCAACGAGATAGTAATATTTTCACTATACATTGCAAATCGGGATTCCACCATAAATACTCGTAGCTAGTAGACTAGATCATGGGTTGGATGACGCGACGGCCCGCCTAGAAAATGGTCGGACTTAGTCATGAATTTAGGATCTCTTGGGTGAGCCCGGTGCTTCCTTTAGGCCCGATCGATGTTTAAGCCGAGCCTAGGCATAGGGTTTGAGGCCCCGCCCAGCCCGGGCGGCCCATACAAGTTTTAGTTTAAATAAGGTTTTGTGTGGTTTCTGTAATGCTAGAATATTAGTTTGTAGTGTACTTTCATTGCTTGAAGGTTGCATCATTACTTCAAAAGAACAGAAATCCTTTTCGAGCGGCACTATCATCATGTGATGCGATTGGCATTGAGTAGCGCTATCATTACTTAAAAAAGAAACTGATTGTTTGCTAAGAAACAAGCTTTTGGTGCTTAGCAGCTCTGCTGTAGTAGTTTTTATATTTAAAGAGACCTTTAAAATTTGATAATGTCCTTCCAAACAAACATTTTCGTGGTGCAATGGCACACGTCACTATCCGTGAGGTCAGGCCCATGACCCTAGTGTCCGTGCCTTGGCCCCCAACACCCGTGCTTGGATCCATCAAGGCCGGGCATGAGGCCCTAATGCCCTGGCACTTGGGCCGGGGTCCATAAAGGTTGAGCGCAGGATCCAAGTACCTGTGCCTGTATCCCCGGCGCTCAGGTTCGCATCCTCAATGCCTAAGCCAGTTTCTATTGAGGTTGAGGACCCCGGTGCCCATGCCCCTATCCTAATGCTAGGTTCCCCGATGCCCAAACCAATGTCTATCAAGGCCGAAGCTTGAGACCCTCGTGCCTCGGTCCATCAAGGCCGAGCTTGGGACCCCGGCACCTGTACCCGTCTCCTCGACACCTACGCCAAGTCCCACTGAGGCCGGAATCGAGACTCCGGAGTCGGTGTCGAGGACACGAGGCCATCCTTGGGACCTGGGTCCAACCTCAAGGAACCCCGGTGGTGCCAAGGTCCTAGGCCCGAGTATTAGGGACTCGGGAACGTGCGCAGGGGATTCAGGCCGAGCCTTGGGGGACCCGAGACCAATTGCGGGCCATCCTTGCCCGACCTCAAGGGTCCTAGGTTCGAGCTCCAAAATCTACTCATAATTTTGAAAAATCACTTATTACTTTTAGAAACTAAACCATTTTCCTGAGTTTAAATATAAGGCTCCGTTCGTTTGGCGGAAAATATTCTCCCGGAAAATATTTTCCTTTCCGGTGTTCGGGGGGCAGAAAATGTTTTCCGTGGGAAAATATTTTCCTTCCCCCCCTCACAAAATAGCCTAAGTCTACGGAAAATGACTTCCGCTTCTTCAAAAGCGGAAATCATTTTCCTGAGCTTCTTCTTCTTCTTCTTCTTCTTCACTAAGGTCGCGGGCCGCCGCCATGCCGCCACCGAATCGGCCATTGCCGGCCGGTCAGCCGGCCGCCACCGGACGCCGGGCGTTGGTCGTCGATCGCCGCCGCCGCCGGGTCCACCGGCCGCCGCCGGTTGCCGGCCGCCGGACGCCGCCCTGATCGCTGCCGCCGACCGCCGCCGGTCGCGGCGAAAAATATTTTCCGAAATTTTTCATATTGATCGCCAAACACCGAAAAATTATGTTCCGGGAAAACATTTTCTAAGAAAATGACTTCCGGGAAAATATTTTCCAAAAGGAGAATATTTTCCGCCAAACGAACGGAGCCTAAGTTTCCCGTTAACTTATTTTTCTAAGCGGTCCAAATGCCAAAAAAATGAGACGAGTTTCTTCGAATAGTTAATTTTCCGCGAAGCAATTATGAAGCTTTGAGCGTGTTCTCTTATGGCACCGTCATGCTTGGGTCGGCATACAGAAAATTAGACTCAAGTGGACAAAGTAAAAGCTGTGGCGATATGCGAGGACGAGAAGCAAATTGCTTGCATATAGTTTTATAAATTAAAAATCAATATATTCAACAACAAAAAAATTGAACCGAACATTGAAAAAAAATTTATCTTAAAATCCAGACAAATGTTTGGGCCTTCTGCGCTTGTACATGGGGAACCACCACAGCAATCCGCAGGTGTTCCCGTGCGGCGTGGGCGGAAAGACTTACCATTCAACCGTTAACTACCAGTCTCCTCCTCCCGCTCTCCCAACACCCCCAACGAAAAGCAACACCAAACTCTCTGAGTTCGTCCCGGCGTCAACCTCCTCTGCAACCCCTCTTCCCCTGGGGACAAAGGAAAGAAAACCCTTCATCACACTCAAACCCTCCAATGCAAGTACAGAGAAGCCCCCACCGATCGTTCTGAAACTCAGTAACCGTCCTATTTTCAAGCCCTGTTGTCCACTCGGTCCCCCCCATGCTCAAGAACAAGCTCAAGATCCCCGACAAGACCCGGAAGCCGTTCCCCGACCGGCTGGGGAGCTTGGTCGCGGGTTTCGACGGCAGGGACGGCGAGAATGGGGTGTCCGATGCGGCCCTCGAGTTCGGGGAAGAGCTCGAGACGATCCAGCCCAATGGGTTCGGGTCGGATCGGGAGTTCGAGGAACCGGATGGCGGGGTGGAAGAGGAGTGTGCGCAGGGTGAGGACCCGACTGCCAGAGCTGGCGGCGGCGGCGGCGAGCCGGATTTTCGGGCCCGGCAGAGACCCGCGAGAGAAGGGTCGGGTCCTGTTTCGGTGTTGGAGGTGATTGCAGCTGATGAGAAGAGGTCTGATGTTGAGTACGAGGTATGACAGATTGATGTGAATTGATGACTTTTGTCTTCGGAGAAATGTGCGGTCATTTTGCATGCTTGAGGCTCACGTTGTTACTTTGTGTGAACTGATGCAGCATTGTGTGCGCAGTTGATTGGAAGTTCTTGATTTGTCGGTTCAGTTCTTGGATTCTTTATGCAGATATCGCAGGAAGAAATAAATTTGGAGAAGTTGCAGAGAATTGCGAGTAAGGGGCTTCCTGACAAGGGGGGTTTGCGTGCCACGACTTGGAAGGTTAGAACTTAATTTTCTTCCTTGTTCAAGCACTTTGCTGGTTCATAGTAATGATGTGTGTGCAGTAAGGAAACACGTTATAAAAAATCGAATTGCATCGTTTGAGGGAAGAAGGATAACTCATTTTTCAGCTTCTTGTGCGTACTTAAATTGCCTAAGTCTAGGGGAAGTGCTAGTTTTGTATATATGGTTTGTCACTGAGATTGTTATACTGCATACCCCATTCCCAACTGCTTTCTGGGTACATTATTCCAATTTTGCGTGCTTTTACATACGAGTTCACCAAAAGGGCAATTCGATGGACACTGCCTTGAATATGTGCGACAAAGGATATTGCCATCAATCTAATCTTGTTAACTTATTCTAAAACAATATAGGGCAAATCCATTACCTGATTTAGGCTTTTGAAATTATAGATACTAGCTTGGAGCCATAATCCTTTTACCCTATATGATTTTTTTTTTGGGTCAAAACCCTATATGATTGAAAGGTGATAATATTGCAGTTTGTTTGTGACCTTGAAACAAAGACTCTCAGCAAGGACTATTCCATTCTTATGGTTCATATATATAACTCAAAAGGAATGCCTTGAACTGTATCATAACCCAAATAAAGAACCAAGTAAGCCTACCCTAACATACACACTTTTCATAAGCAGCTCATCCGATTCTATTTACTTGTACCTGAGATTTTCAAGATCATCTGTGAACTCGATCTGTAATTGAGTGAGAACCTTTGGAAGGATAAACAAGGATAGGCACTCTGAAGATGTGCATTTTGTGAAATCTTTCGTTTAATCTGCTCTATTTTAAGCAGCTGCTCCTTGGCTATCTTCCCCCTTCTCGCAACTTGTGGGAAAAGGAGTTATCAGAGAACCGACTTAAGTATGCCAAGCTGAAGGCAGAGCTTCTTATAAGTCCTGTAAGCTGCTTTCTTCCTTTCTTCTCTTATCAACTTGTATCACCAGAATCATGATTCTGAAGTTCATGATGTATGAAAATCTTGACTCTAGGCAGTCAGAGTTTGCTAGAAGGAAAAATTTAGATTTCAGTCCTTGTGAATCGGAAGCGGGGAGTGATGTTGATGGGCCACTTCACCGGCACCAAATCTCTCAGGAGGATCACCCTCTGAGTCTTGGTAAAGCTAGCGTTTGGAATCAGTACTTTGAGGTGCATATCTTTTTGGTTATGTGGGGTTCACTTTGTCCTTCCTTGCCCTATTTTTGAGCTGATGTTTACCACAATAGAGATGTGTGTTTCTAGAATACAGAAGTTGCAGAGCAGATAGACCGTGATTTACAGCGTACCCACCCAGATATGAAGTTCTTTTCTGGGGAAACGGCGATCAGTAGAAGACGCAGGGTATGGTATCTTTTATGTTGTTCTATAGGAGATTACTGCTCCTTGCTTTTCTTGTGAAGGGGAGCTGAAGTTTTTTTTGTATGTCTACAGGAAGCAATGAGAAATATTCTCCTCCTGTTTGCAAAACTGAATCCTGCTATCCGCTATGTGCAAGGAATGAACGAGGTCTTGGCACCCATATATTACGTCTTCAGTACTGATCCTAATGAGCAAAATGCTGTAAGAGTTACTGAATCTTCTCGTCTTCGGAAGTATGTCATTTGCCCTTGGATGATCGTATTTTCATGTTTGCAAATTGTCCAAGTTTATGCTTACATGGCTTGGAATTTCTCAGATGTCATGTTATTCTAATGCTCAAGCTGTATATATGTTCAGATCACTTTTCAATCTTACATCAGCTGAGTTTTTGCAGAATCTCAATCTCTTATTGTGCTCCAATATGCAATGAAATGTGTAGAGGTCTTTGACGTGTTTTACTATGCATGTTTTCACATTAGTGTCTATCAAACTTGTGCTAATGAATTGAGATGGAAGATTCTTTTTCATTAGGGAAAAAGCTGCCAAAAACCCGAAATTATGCCCATCGTGACATATTTACCGTAAACTTTTTTCCGTGACACCAGAAATCTCAAAGTTGTACTTGTGTGACATATTTACCCTCCATCAAAGTTCTGTCAATGAGAACCGTTAAAAATCTGCCTACATGGATGCCAGAAAACAAACGGCGTTGACATGACACCCACGTGACTTAAGTGAAATAAAAATGACGTTGTTTTGGCTAAAAAATCATTTAACAGAATCTTGACGGAAGGTAAATGTGTCATAGGTACAAGTTTGGGGTTTTTTATGTCATAAGAAAAATTTTATGGTAACTGTGTCACAGTGGGTATAACTTTTGGGGTTTTTGATGTTACAAAAAAAAGTTCAGGGTAAGTAAATAGTTTGAAGTTTTTTGTAACTTTTTCCCTTTTGTTAACATGGTATTGTAAAGATAATTTCAAATCCAGTTTTTCCCCACTAGTAAGCTATAATTTCATTCTATAAATGGTCTCTCTCTGATCTGATTCTTGCTCATACACTGCTGCTTGTATTCTTACTATTGTTTTTACTTGCTCCCTGAGGACATATGTTCGTTTTGATATCTGTTGATAAGTCTGTCAAGTCTAAAAATCTTGAAATACAGTGCCAAATGTACATCTAATTTCTGCTTCTTTTCGTAAATTGATGCATTCACTCCATGTTCTGTATCTTGTACCCTCTAAGGTCATTTGTTTGCTTTAACATCTGTATGATAGTCTCTCATGTCTCAAAATCATGACAGTCTGCCAAGTGTGATCGTGATTTCGCCCTCTTTTAAAGAATTGACGTGTTCACTCCACGTTGTCCAGCTTGTACTCTTTTTTCCATCAATGAACTTGTTATCTTTTCGCATCTAATGTGGAGATGTTGTCTTAAATCTGTGCAGGCAAATGCAGAAGCAGATAGTTTTTCATGTTTTGTCAGGCTCTTGGGTGACTCAGTGGACCACTTCTGTCAACAGTTAGACAATAGTTCAGTGGGAATACTCTCCACCCTTTCCCGCTTATCTGACTTGTTAAAGACCAATGATGAGGAACTGTGGCGGCATCTTGAATTCACAACCAGGGTAATCTCAAATGGCTCAAGTTACAATTCCATACATTTGCCTTTTTGTGGTTGCGCATCTTCTTCAGCTCTGCTTTCTGACCTCACAATTTTGAAATTTTTTGGTCAGCTAATGTCATGATTATTATGAGCAGGTTGAACCACAATTCTATGCATTTAGATGGATCACACTGCTTCTTACCCAAGAATTTAGCTTCCAATCCATCTTGAGAATATGGGATTCTCTTTTGGGCAACCCTTTTGGTGTTCAGGTCTTTTCGCTCTCTCTGCGCTCTCCACTTCTACGGTTGTGCATGCTATCTATGTTATTAATATCCATGAAAACAAGCCAGCACCAATATGGGTTAGTTTGGAATGGTTTGGTCTGACTGGGTTACTTGTTCTACCAGGACTCACCGAGCACATCTTCTGGGAAAGATGTTAGATATTATCGGATGAGAAGCCTGTTTTATTAGGAAAATGATCTATTTATTTATTGGCATAACTTCATGATGTAGAAATGTAATGCCTGATAAGTAGAGAAAAAACTACTAGCCAATTTAGGATGGTATTTCTGATGCATGCTTCTTGCTAATGTATAGCATTGGTAGACATAGGATGATAATATGAGAAGCTCAAATTTTGGGAGGAACTTTTGAATCCTTATATTTCTTTTTAAGTTTAGTAAAGCTAGAAATTCAAATGAAGCAGTGGGAAGAATCAGAGATCGTAAGTTTTGGTGATCATAATCTTGGATTGTTTTTGCAAAAGAGATGGGAAATTGATCTAAATCAATCAAGATTTCTCCCACAGGATATGCGCATGATAGGTGAAATAGAGAAGTGTGCTTATCATATATTTTATGGAACACAAGAATGCTGCTTAAATATAAGGGTAAATTCTATGTGAAGTCATTATGGCCAACAACGGTTTATTCAACGTAATGGGTACACCAGATATGTGTACCAGACATGAGCATAGTTTCTATGGGAAATCAAGAAGAGGAGATTGAAAATGTCCTACCTGAAGAAAAGTTGGTGCGACACCAATCGAGGACAAGATCGGCAAGTGAAATAAAAAATTGTGGATTGAAAAGGATGGAGAAAGACATAAAAAGACATGTGAGAAGCATTTGAATGTTACTGAAATCTGTAACATTTGAAAGCATATTAATCCAGGGCTGAATCCACTTATTAGGATAAGGCCTGCATGTTCTTGTTGTCATTTTTGTTCACTTTATCTGTTCATTATTTTCTCAATACTCATGCTGTTCAGATCACTTCCGTCTAACCGGTGAGTAATGCTTTTTGGGTTGAAACAGTCGTTTTACTCTTCTGCATAGAGCTAGAGCATTTAGATTTCACTTTGCCTCCTGCTGGTAATTGAACATACACTTTAGCATTACGCTCATGGTGGACAAAATTCTTTTGCGAATTCCTCTCTCTTCAATCGAACAACTTGTTGGCAACTTTTTTAAATGACAATGACATACTGTCTGGTGGCACAGGATATGCTGCTGCGAGTTTGTTGCGCGATGTTGTTATGCATGAAGAGCAGACTGCTGAGTGGCGACTTCATAGCGAACTTGAAGCTTCTACAGCACTACCCGGATATCAACATCGAACACCTACTCCAGGTCGCGATGGATTTGACTCCCGACACATCTTCCTATCGTCTGTCTCTGTAATTACTCTGTAAACTGTGAACATTTGCCAATCTCTGTACAAAATCAATCTCTCTCTCTCTCTGTAATGCAAATTTTTTCGGCAAGGATGAAGCGGGTTTTGATATTGGTTGAGGTGATCTGACCCGTCGACTTCTCTACAATATTCACTGCGAAATGCGTCGACCTGGGCATCAGTTCATGTTTCGAAATACTTTGCTTTTGTGAACAGATGCCGTTTTCGAGGAGGCAAAAAGATTCCATCAGTACAAAATTGTCCACGTGAACACCATGATTCCATAATGTTTCGTTAACAGGGTGGCTTTACTTGACCGGCAGATGCCTTCTTGTCTGGATTTTGGGGAGGCTTTTCTGGGCAATGTTTCTTGTCCGACAGGAATCTGCCAATGTCTATTGTCCTATTTTTTCCTGTATTAAGGACGAGGCGCTCATTAGTCCAAGGTGAATTATTAAGCATAGATTTGTCAGTGTTCTGAAGGATTATTACTCAAATGGCACGCGCGTTCGGTTTCCACGCGAAAGCCTTATTGAATTCAGAATATGGTAAAGTAACTCCTGGATGGGGAACTACTCCACTGATGGGTGTCGCAATGGTTCCAAACTCAACGGCGGCAGATAAACACGAGGGCTGCGCTCGTTATGAGGCTTGACCCGACACCTTACGGCAGTCTTTCGGGCCATATTTTAATACGAAAGGTTAAGTGAATTAAAGGGAAAATAAAATAAATACGGCTCCGTCTTTAACGTACCGTGAAATGTTAAAGATTGACTAACTAAGCCTAAATAAAATTGTTCTAATGTCAGTTCACACGAAACAAGATGCAAATGAGAAAATCAATGCAGTTTTGAACTTTTACTTCTTAGCCAAGAATTAAAATGGAAAATCGCCACTTGCCAAATTTAGGAGAAAATGACTTCTTTTGCCTAGTGGATGAGGGTGATCTGATCAAAGTTTGGACCTTACAACAGACAAAAGCTGAGAAAACGAAAGGCTATACCAAAGCCAAAGTAGTCCTCCCCTTCCCCTCCACCAAAGAAATTTGTGGCAGCGTTGCGTGCTCGTACATACTGGAAATTTGATTTTTATTGGACTTATTCATCAACACGACTCGAGATCCAAAGAACCCGTTTTTTTTTTTCTATTTATTTTCTCTATACTTCAAATTATTCTCGACTCTATCCACATTCTGGGTCAATGGTCATACTCCATGTTCTTCAAAGGGGAAGGTTGCGTGACATACATGGGACACTACAATGTGAACCAATTATTGATTTTATAAAGCTGTTGTTTTGAAATGCTTCTGCACATGTTGCTTGCACTGTCGCTTTATTTATAAACAAGAGGGAGAAAAGAAAAAAAATTGAAAGATTGGCCCTTGGAACCTAACAAGGTCGCTTGGGAGAAACCTAAACAAAGACCATTAGGGTTTCGAGGCAGGTTCATTGTACGCATGCGTGTGAAAAGAGTGTGTTAAGTGCATAATAATCACATTCATACGTGCAAAATGTGCATTTCTTCAACGGGTCTAAAGGGGATTAAGATCTGATTATGTTTTCCATTAGGGAAATCTTGATTTTTGGTCATGGTCGTTGTGCCATCTTCGAGACATTACATTTTTCGAGTATGCAGACAATCAACTATTTACACATGGTGTTTTTGTTTCGCGAAAAATGAGTGATTTGAAAAACGTTTTCTGAAAAATGATATCGATTATATCGTTTAGAAAAATAAATGAATGGAAAAATTTGTCATCGTCCATGAAAATAGTTGGGCATAGATTGCTAACGATGATAAAAATATTTTCCGTTGACTAATTTTTTTAAACGATATAAGCAAATATTTTTCGGAAAATATTTTTTGATTCACTTATTTTCCGCAAAATGAACGCATCCTAAAGAATGCTGGGTCTTCGATTCATTTGTTACTTCGAGTCATTTAATATTATTTTCTTAATCCGTTATATATTACACGATAATCTTTTCCACAAATTTCACAATCTTGACGTGAATTGGTGCTACAGAGTGATAAAGCTAGTCCGACGTGTGGAATTCCTTTCGTGGCACCTTATTAATTAAAATTGATAAAAACTTAGAACCATCATGCGCGGACTATCTCCAAACCTCTTGCACGGGGTGGTCCAAAAAAACAGAGAAAAAAGAATCATACTGTCGGTAGACCGTGTAAAACCAAGTTCATCTTAATCGCTCATCATGCGGTCCCCGTGGTGCGAAAGAAGCTTTGCTAATGTTCTCGAGATTAACTTTAATTAATCTTGATTGGCCTTTGGACTAATTTGCGTCACTCGTGCAAAAAGTAAACACCGGGAGCTTTTTCTTTATCTGATGTAATTTAGAGGCATTTTTCACTTTAGACTGGAATAAGTTAATCGATGTCGCGGTTCTTGCTTTTGTTTGTTCCATGTTGTCCCCATTTTCCTTTTTCTAAAACAACAATTATGATGCAAGTTGCGTCCATTTTCTTCAAATGCTTTTGATGCTCAGCGACGTCTTTGTCTGTATAGGAATGGCTGGATGCATCAGTATTGGTGGATGAGGTTTCAATTCCTGTCTGAAAGTAAGTGAAAAGACAATGATGTAATGATTTGCATATACCTACGGAGAAAAAAAAAAAACATTCCGTAGCAAATTTTGATCATTTTTCCATATTTTTATATGGTTTCATCGTGAGAATTATCAAAGCTTTAATTTTTTTTTTGAAATGAAAAGGGGCTTTTGGATATGATAAAATGAAAATGTTAGTTAATTCTCCGACACTAGAATTTGCGCAGGCGCAAATTACATAAATCCGTAGATATAAATTCTTAAATTAAATGTGAAGGGAAAACATTATCTTTATTATTGTAAAATAACATTATGGTAATTCGTGCAAAAGATATACCTTATTTAATCTCTAAATGAGATGTTTTTCTTTTTGTTTTTTTCTTCAAAATTTAGTGAGGGTTATTTATTTATATTTTTTCCTTTTGGGCGGTTAGTGGGCTGGCTTTTTGGTAGTGTATTAAAAACATAAATACACCTAATCCCATGGATAATGGAGAAGCTCTATCTACTCATCCTATATCCGATTTTTGCCCTATTTTGGCCACCATTAAAAGCATAAATCGAACGCTTAGCCTGATAAATGTAAAGCTTAACCAAAGCATCTAAACTTTCCCAAATCTAATGATGAACATTTCCTAAGTATCTCTCCTAAATATTCTAAGTCAGTCAATTAAGTTACATGCCTGCTGATTTTGGATTCATGGACACCCTAAGCCTTAGGATATATATTGGAAATGATATTAATTAAGATGGATAAAGATTAGGTGCCAAACAAGGATTAAGTGCAAAATTCAAGTACAAAAGTCACATTTTATTGTAATGAAGAGTTGTATTTTGAAAACCTTGTGAACGGTTTACATCTCGCACTAAATCGAAAAGTCCGCCCAAATTTAATTTCCTCCGAGCATATGCTAAATTGCATCGAGATCAGGTAAACCGACGTCATGCCCGTAAAAATCCAAAACTTTCTTTAGACATTCCTCTCATTCAGTACTATAAAAATATATATTTTTTTCAACAAAGAAAATAAAAGCCACCAATCCCACTCTTCCTTTTCCCAATTTGCTACTACTACTGGTCTCATTCGAATAAAAAAATGCCAATTTGAGGCCCTTACTTTTGTTCTATGTCACCATATCATATGGCCTATTATTATTTATTGCCACATTGTTTAGCTTCCATTGCAACCACCTTACCATTCTCTCTCTCTCCTTCTCTCTCTCTCTCTCTCTCCATGTGAAGACCAGACCAGACCAGACCAACTAACCCACAAGAAGGCAACCATCATCTTCTTCCTCTGCTCAAAGCAGCCAATTCACTAATCTCTCTCTTTCTCTCTCTCTGTTCTTTTGCTTGTCCTTCTTCATCAAATTCACCATGTCTTCCATCTTGACCCCTCAAGGGATGGCCTTCGCCACCGCCATGGCGGTCTCCGGCACCGTAATCCTCCTCGCCTTCCTCCTCCAGAAGCCCGTCGACGATCATGTCTCGCAGCCTTCGCCCCGGGCCCTCCGCTCTTGCATGTCATCCGGTACGAGAACCCTTTTTTCTTTTCTTCAATCATTCCCAAGTACCCATGTCACAAAATCCTTCCTTTCTTCCAAGTTATGATCGTGGGTGTCTTTCTTTTTTACCTTTTCAAAAGACGGGAAGCAGAGAGAGAAGAACAAGAAGAAGAGAGTTCACTTCGCGGAGGACGTGGTGGATCCGAGCGGGTACAGTGCGGAGTTCAGGAGACAGCACGGGATCGCCACCAGTTCCCCTCCTCCCTCTCCCCCGTCAAGTCCGACCAAGTTCAAGAAGAATGCAAGCAGCAAAGTCAGAGGAATGCCTGCCAATAGGATGGCTCTGTACAACGGAATTCTCAGGGACCGTGTCGTCCACAGATTGGCCTGTTCCTACTGATGGGATTCCCCAGTTTCCTCTCATTTTTCCCCCAAATTGCAGGTGTCGATATTTTAATCAGTTCTCACCAATTTGCAGTATATTCTCGTACAGATTCCCTCTTTCGACCCTTTTCTTGATTTTCTTTTGCCCTTTGTCGGAAATTTTAGTTTAATTAGCCTAGGAAGATGTTCAGCGGTTCTGGTTTTAGGCCCATAAAGTTGAAGGAATTTAGAGCTTGATGGGCCCTGAAGCCTTCTTGAGGGAAGGTAATTTCAATGGCAGAAACTGCGAATTCAGGTGTCCTGTTTTGCCCTTTAAAGAAGCTTTTACTGATCGGGTGCAGTGAATGCATACAGCTGTTCTGTGTGTGTGTTGATATCGCAATCACGGTCTCAAGATACGTGATGGCGACATCTGAAGAGATTGGCTGATCCTTTGCTTTCTCTTCTCTTGATTGTATCAGTTTGCGTGAAGCAAAGATTCGTCAATTATTGGAGGTGATAACTACAGGGTTTTTCCCCTTGGTTTGCTTGACATTACCCTGGCAATCACGCACTTTAACAATCATGGAGCTCCTACGGTCGTTTTAGATACCGATCTGTCGGTCTTTGTCCATCGTGGTCATGCGTAATATGATGTCGCTTCTATGTTGACCCGACCCGATTCCC